TGGAATGGTATTACAGGATGATCTTAGCTCATTGGTGGTGTGGTTGGACAGGTGGTCACTAGAAGTAAATTATAATAAGTGTGTGGCAATGCAATTAAATAACTATGATGAATCGTATCACTATACAATATGTGGATTCGTGCTACCCAAATTAAGAAACTATAAAGATTTAGGAGTCATATTAAGCAGTGATCTCAGAACCACTAGTCACTGTAGGGCTGCTGCTGCTGCAAAAGGTTATAGGGTGTTATGGTCTAATCGTAGGTCTTTCCAGCATTTAGATGACGAAATGTTTAAATTATTATACCCAATTAACGTGAGACCACATTTAGAATATGGGATTCAAGCAGCGAGTACTTGTTTCAAGTATGAATCAGATATGCTGGAAAGATAGTACAAGGTCAACCTGGCCTGTCTTATGAAGACAGATTGAGACACCTTAACTTATTTCCGCTATCTTACCGTAGAATATGGGTTGATCTAATATTGGCTTATAGTATATTGAACGATGACCTTGATATTAACATGTCTTATCTTTTACTTCCGTCTAGGACTGATCATTTGAGAGGACATTCGAAGAAAGTTCAAAAACCGAGATCAGATCGTTTACGCCTGAAGTTTCGTTTCTTGCACCGCTTAGTGAATTACTGGAATTCTCTACCGGAACAATTAATATCAGTAACTACTGTTGATATATTCAAAATGAGATTGAACCACCACAGTATTAGCTACTGCGAGGATTAATATAGGTTGACAGACCTCTTATCCTTAATACTGGGCGCGCGCTATCTAAAAGGGCAGTGGTATTGTTTCTCGTCGAGTTAATTAACTGTTTTGATCGTAAATTGCACGTCAAAACTACTGTTTACACTTTGATTGAATCTTCTCCAGTTAAAGTGATATTGTATTGAGTGTTTTGATTTTGCCTTTGTGTATTTATTGTATCGAAGCATACTTTGTAGACTTTTACTTTATTTATTTATTCAAGGTTTTAGAACTCTTTTACATATCCTGTTTGTATCACCATTGTAGTTGATTTTCAAGATGGCCAAATCTGCTCATAAATGTGGACAACCATATTGCTTATTCCTCATGGAGGAAGGGATGCAATATGACGAGTGTAATAAGTGGTTCCACAAGATGTGCACCCGATTAAGCCCCGCTTCATATAAAAGGTGCTTGAAGCCCAACTCTCATTGGCGTTGTAGTTTTTGTTGCTCGAGCAAGACATCACTCATCCAGGAAGCAATTAGTCTCCTGGTGTTGGCCAATAAGAAGGTTGATGAGGGCTGTACTGGCAACATTGGTACTGATGGCGAAGATTGCGTTAGTGTCGTAAGTGCTGTCACGGCGCAAGTCAGACATCTAACTGTGCAACCCGAAATTAAAATTTCTACCCCGAAACAATCAATGAGTAACACCTCATTAGATATTGGTGGCCATGTTGCTACAGCATCAACTGGTGATCCAAATAAAACATTTACTGTCCCGGGTAGTTCTAATATAGATGCTACGACTGATGGAATATAGATGACGTGGAAACACAGAAGAGTGGGAAAGACAGCTAAAACCAATGACCATTTACTTGGCAAGTCCTTGGCGGACGCTCAGACCACTCCACCAAAGTTCCAAAGCAAAGCCTCTTCAAACATTTTTATGAGTCACTCGCTCGACTCCAATGACTCCGTTACATTAAAACTAATCGTAAGATACCAGTAGTTAATATACAGGATCTAAGGTCACGATCGATAGCTGTAAACACGATTCCAAAAGAAGCTAAACATCTCCCTAGTTTAATTATTTGGAATCTAGAGGAGTCGATAGACAACGACCTTGCTAAGAGACATGCATATGATCTAAAGTTAGTGGAATCTGTGGTAGAAAACGTACTACCTGAAGAGGTTTCATGGGTACATATCACGAAAGTAATACGACCCGGTAAAGAGGTTGGAGGCGAGACCCAACCAAGAACGATCTTGAAGCTGGTTCTCGGGAATTTTGAAGAAAGGGATATATTATTGAAAAAACGCACCAAAAATTCGTGATTCAAATATTCGTATCCGACCAGATTAGCTGCTTGATGGTCGAATCAGGTGAAAGAATGCTCTTACGGAGTTAAGAACTCGAAAGTTAAATGGCGAAACTAACCTTACCATTAAGGGTTTTCGGGTAGTCAGGTCTTGGAAGCCAATGCTTCCGAGGCCTGTATGGGTAGAACGAATGATTCCCAAAATACCTTAAGTGTGTGCTACACGAACGCCCGTAGTCTTAGAAATAAAACGTCCGAGCTAAGTCTGATGGTGGATGAATTAAGTCCCGATATAATTGCTGTTACAGAAACTTGGTTCACCGTAGATAAAAAATGTTCTCCCATCATTGCAGGCTAGATCTGTATTAGAAGTGATAGAGTTTTAAGTCGCAAAGGGGGAAGCATAATGTTGTACATTAGAGATCACTTTCGTATACAATCAATCATATCGGAGGCTCATGTTAGTGGTATACGTGAGGTAGCATGTTGTAAAATTAAATCTAGAAATGGGTTAGTGACTATAGAGCGATATACCGTAGTCCGTGTTGTCTTGCTGACGACTTTATCCCAAGACATATCTGTTCTTCGAGTATGGCAGAATGTTGTCTCATCATTGGGGACTCCAACGCACCGCACATCAACTGGATAGAGCTTACAGCTCCAGGTGGAGGTTTCGATAGCGAACTTTTATCAACCGTTACTCAGTGTGCACTTGTCCAATGTATCACAAAACCGACACATATTGATTTGAAACATGATCCCTCGCTGCTGGACCTCGCCCTCACCCACCACTGTGAGGATGCCTTTGATATTCAGCACCTTCCCCCAATGGTGAACAGTGATCATGTTGTAATTCACTTTAAGTTTAGTACACATGGCATACGATTCGTATCTGCTCCACCCCGTCCCAATATCAGGCGGGATAATATTCCGGCAATCAGAGACTGTGCTATCTCGACTGATTGGTCGGTTGACGCAGATGGATCGATCGAAGACGAATGGAATAAGTTTAAGGCTACATTCGAGTCCGTAACTTCACCGTTAATCCCATGGTCAGCAAGTAAGCTGTCGCATTGCCCTCCATGGATTAATAAGGAAAGCCGGAAGCTGTTAAAGCGCAGGAAACACTTCAATGACTTATACTTGTTGACAGGTCAGGTGGTATATGATAGCTGTACTTGTGAGAAACGATTGTTTTCGTATGTTAAACGGCGAATAAAACGTAGTGATGGTATTCCCCCGTTATTGTTACACGATAATTCAGATATACTAGCTGAATCAGATAGGGCCAAAGCTGAGAATTTTTCAAACCATTTTAGCGAAGTCTACTCTACGTTTATTGTTACAAATACTTGTCTCAATCACACCGAGATACCAGCCATTGGATCTGCACAGGTGATTGAGGAAACTGTCCTTCCGTTGATAACTAGCCTCAAACCTTGTAAGATACTGGGTCCCGACGGGTTACATCCACAGCCGCTGTCATCTCTTGCGGACATTATTTCAAAACCTCTCGCGACACACATCAACATGTCACATTTAGTCGCTCAATTCCCTAGGGATTGTAAAGACGCTATTGTCAGTCCTATATTTAAGGATGGTCAGAAACAGGTCGTATCTAACCACCGGCCTGTCAGTCTAACTAGCATTGTCGTCAAGTTACTCGGAAAGATAATGCGGGTTAGGTTGCTAAGCCACATAGATTCACACAATCTGTTAGCTCCTGAGCAACATGGATTTCGTGACAAGCGTTCATGCTTGACTAACTTACTTATTACAAGAGAGGATTGGATAGCAGCCTTAGATAAAGGTCTGTCTGTCGATGTGATATTCATAGATTTTAGCAAAGCATTTGACAAGTTTCACACTTAGGTCTTATGCAGAACCTCAAAAGCTTCGGAATAATAGGTACTGTGCAGGAGTGGATAGGAAACTTCTTATGTGACCGCAGACAGAGAGTGAGGGTCAATGAGACGCTATCCGATTGGAAGCTGGTCAAAAGTGGTGCACCCCAAGGCACCATCTTAGGCCCTCTGCTCTTCCTTCTCTACGTAAATGAATTACCGCTGTTGCTTAGGTCGTCGACATTATTATTTGCGGATGATGTCAAAATCTGGAGAAAAATAAGAAGTGAGGCTGATCATCTGGATCTTTAAGCTGACTTAGACGATTTAGTTAGGTTGGCTCAAGGTTGGGACTTAGAAATCAACTCTGGGAAGAGTGTGCTAATGCACATCGGTCACGGCAATAGTTACCGTTATACTATTGATGGTAAACGTCTTCCATGAGTTCAGGAACATAAAGACTTAGGAGTAATAATAAGTCATAACTTGAAAACAACTACTCATTGTAACGCAGCCGCTGTCAAAGGTTTTCGTGAGTTATGGTCACCTCGCCGAGCGTTCGAATCTTTTGACAAGGAAATGTTTCTAATTTTATATCCCACCCATGTAAGACCACATTTAGAGTATTATACCCAAGCAGCTAGCCCATGTCTGGTAAATGATACTAACTCACTTGAGCGTGTCCAGCGTGTGGAAAAGAAATTAGTGAAGGGTCTTTCTAAACTCCCTTACGATGAGTGTTTAAAACGCCTAAACCTTTTTCCCCTTGTCGTATCGTAGGACTCGAGGTGACCTTATACTGGCATTTCCTATCTTTAATTATGATTTGGGTGTTAATATGTCGTATCTTTTTGCTCCCTTAAGCACTAACAATCTCTGAAGTCATAGCAAGAAGGTTCATAAACCGCGATCTAGTAAATTAAAACTGGGGTTCTGTTTCATCGAGTAGTCAATGATTGGAACGCCTTGACCGAACAAGCGGTATCAGCCCCATCAGTGAATATTTTCAAAAGAGAAACTGGACCTTCACTGGAAGGCAATCTGTTAGGGTTAAGACAGGTTCACCAACCTACTATCCTTATTACTGAATACTGAAAGGACTGGACATTCGAAAAGAAGCAGCGCCGTTTACGACTGTAATTTTTGGCGTCAAATTCACATTAGGTGGTTATTAGTTGTAGACAGCTTATATTATTACCAGATGTAAGTTAGCTTCTGTTTTTAGACACTTTAACCTAGATTTAACCACGAGCAAATCGCAATGTATATTCGTCTGATTGTTTCTGCTTTATAAATCAAATATAAAAGACAACTGGTTATATTTCTTCTTGTATTCCAAGATTACTGTACTGAGTTAGTTGATTTCTCGACGAAAGTTTCGCTTACTGACGATCAGAGGATCCACTATATGCCGAAGAAACTCGGGACATGTCCGAAATCATTGGAGGCTCGAGAAAGACGAGCCGAAAAGAAGCGAGAAGAGCGAGAAATCACACTAAAAAAGGCTGAGGATGAGTATTGGAGAGATGATGACAAGCATTTGAATAAAAAACAACAACGGAAAGTGAGCTTTTAGTTCATGTAATGTACACTACAGGAGGAAAAAGATTCAAAGCGTCTGGAGCTAATAGAGAGAAAAAAGGAAAAAGAAAAGCTATATAATGATGAGATCGCTGGTTTCAAGTCATCTAAATCCACAGTGACTAAAGAACAACCGTCAAAGCTTACACAAGCGCAAATTGCCGAAGCCCAAAAAAAAATAGAAGCTCAGTTAATAGCTTTAAACCAAACTACTCAGAAATCTGAGGCTGCAGAATTGGCTCCTAACCCAAACCGAATTGAGAAAGATGGTTTAGAAGCTCGTACCGTTGAAGAAGCTATCACCATACTAAGGTAATCGTTTGATACCTCAAGTGACTGGCATTTTTTCTCAAACCTCATATATAGAGTGTTCCACCATTATGTCATCACTATTAATATTTCCAGGTCATCAATGCAATTTAAAGTTGAGCACAGATTTAATCGGTTTATTGTTCTATGAATCTTCTCAGATGACTTTTGGAGATTGGATAGTGTCGTGTCAAATAACTTTGTGGAAACGATTTTGATCTGTTGCCTAATATATTTCTTAGCTAACTGACCCACGTGGTTTTTGATATAGGTATAGGAAAAATATACATGGCCTAAATTTGTTTGCGAAATCTTGGACGCATTCATCTCTTGTTTTCTTTCCAATCCATCTCAGAACCTCTTTTGTTCCTTATATACTGTTTCATTACAGAAACTTGACCTGATTGACCGATTATGTTTACCTTTAGAATTTTTTCAACCAGTGTTAGATCCTCCATTTGGATAGTCAGTATCCATGTAATGAAGTTACGGGTAAAGTCTTTCCTCATGTGTAGCAAGTAGAGAGTTCGCATGGATAATATTGTATGGTGAAATGTAACAAGAATAAAAAATGTATGAGTTACCAACTGTCTCGTGTGCATAGTGTATTTATCTTTTCCAATTAAGAGGTGATGATAACAGTTTATTAGTAGTCTCTTTATATGGTAGGTAGTTGTCATTACTAGAATAATTGATTATTTGTCAGTTCATTAAATTGTCCACTTCTTACTTGTAGTTTTAAATCTACCTGCTTCTTATTAGTCGATTGAGTATTATGATTGTAAACAGTGGTACTTACATAACGCTTCTGCTGGGATACATTTCATTTTTTCTTATAGGTGTATTCATCTGAACGTGTTACAAGTTTAATTTAGTGCCTATCATAATATATCAGGTCAAACAGTGTATACAACCCACTTTCATCATGTATTTAAAATCACCTCTCTATTTCTTGTAACTAGTTAAATTATATCCCTCCATAAAGCCTATTCTGATTACAACCTATGCGAAAGTTACAATATCTCACTGAATTCAATCCTAAAAGCATCACTATAAATTGAAATGGTTTATGTATTGTAGTAAATACCCCAATTTTAATTCTTATTATTAGCACAAGCTTATTATTTATTATTTATTTATTTTAACACATAAGTATAGGTACAGGGAGGCACCAAAATACATATGCGCCACACAAATCTCAATTGATTTGTGTGAGGGCTGTGATACTGCCCGGGTGCCCAAACCGAAGCAGGTGGTTGTCTTAGGGGGCCACACCCCGAGCCTTTGACCTGAACGTCTGACCCACAAGGCAGTGGAGCATCGTGAGGAGATGCAGTCCCATGGTAGCCGGTGACCAACGATTGGTTCATACGCCATTTGTCCCCGCAGGATATTGGAGCCCATGTGCACCATTGATTTGGGGTCCGGTTAAAGCGCCAGACATTCGCTTTTCGTCCTCTCATTTTTGTAAACAACACCCCCGCCACGAGAAGGCAGTGAGTAGGACTTCCCTGGGAGTGGCTATATACGCATGGCCATGTGAGAGCATTTCGAGAGGGAGAGCGGACTCTCCCCACTCTCGGCCGTACCAGGGCATTTGGGGGCATTAGCACAAACTGTACTATTCGATTGAACATAGCTCAGAGCCTAATCCATCTGTTTTCATTTTGAAGAAAAAGTAGTACTAATACTAGTCTTCAAGCTATACATATAGCCCAAAGTTTAGTACACAGGTGTACTAGCATGTGGTTAGGGTGTAAATTACTTATACGAAGCTCTGTGCCTACACCCACTCTTGGTATTAAACCGTTGCAAGTAGTTGAGAAGTTCGTGTATCTAAGTAGTTGTTTAAGTGCTGATGGTAGCGTGTGCTGAGAACAACCTAAGTATGGTGGAAGCCAGAGTAGCTTTTGCCAATTTGGCCCATCTTAGACGCCTTCTTAATCTCAGTGTGGTTGTTAACGCGTCCATGAGGGTAGTTTCACTCCATGCTTGTGAAACCCGACCTCTCCGATTTGACGATGTGAGGCCATTATCGTTGTCTCGGAAGTATTACTGACATTCAGTAGTAACACCATGTTTGTAATGGGATGGTCTGGTCACAGTGATGATTTCATCATCTCAAAACACCAACTTCGTGGCTTAAACGTCGTCACAATGAATTCTACATCATTCATTGTTTTTCGACGCTTCGACTGGTTGGAAAAAGTGTAGAGGTGGTCGGTGTACAACATGGTACTGTGATATGAAAGAGCGCTATATAAGACTGGCATCTGTTGTCACCTAACGACACCCTGGTTGGAGTCCTAGAGATAGTGCAACAGCGACCTCAGAAAAGAAGCCAGTGCCGGTCCTGCTGTAGTGTTTTAGTTTCTTGATGTAAGTGTGATGAACTTCTATCACTAAAAGAATCCTTTCTGGTTGTATTTTTCCTAATTGAACGGCTTTCGTTAATGATATTATTTTTCCTTCCACTCCCATACATTAATTCCTGTCGATTATTCTTTTTCTATTATGCTGACCATTATCTTCACAGTCATATATATATATATATATATATTTTGATGCCACTCTGTACCAATATTTGTGCTTAAATAAATAAATAAATTAAAATGTACAAATGTTGATTTTAAAAAATCTCGGTGATTACCAAGGAGCGTGAAACATAGATTCAAGGCTTTCAGGCGATAATCTTAAAACAATCGGATTAAATATGCGTACACATAATTAGCGAAGCTTATTTGCCTTCTGCTTCTTATTTTCATAAAAGCTAACATTCCTTTTTTTACCTCGTTTTTTCGTCTAGTGTTAACGGTGGTGATGGTGATCGACATCCAGAAAAACGTTTAAAAGCTGCTTATCAGGCATTTGAAGAGCGTATGATGCCGCAGCTGAAAGCTGAAAATCCAAACATGCGACACTCACAGCTTAAACAGTTAATATTTAAAATGTTTCAGACATCACCTGAAAACCCTAAAAACCAACATAATTCGTGTTACAATTCCAAATAAGTTGATGGATAAAACTGCACTATGTTTTTTCTTAAAATATTTCGAGCTTGAGACCACCGCTGAAGAGTTATTTTAATATGTCAACCCAGAATTACTTTACGATTTATCATGTACTTAAATTATTATTAGGACCGGTTAGTTTGCATATGTTTGTATCTGTACGTTTAAGTTTGTGCAACTTAAATCTGTCAGTATTTGGTTTATTTTATTGAAACTCGATAAACAAATGAGAATAAGCATGTACGTTTTAGTGGCTTTGTGTTATGTCTCACGTGGTAGCAACTAAATTAAGGAAAGCGAAATAAATCTCAATTTGTGGTCAAATAAGCACATGATATATATTTGGTGAGAAGCTAAAACCAGTGGAGTTTAACCATATAAGGCGGGAGGCAGTTAACCACTAATGGTATTGGACGATGGTTGGGCAATATGGAGAGTTGATTAAATTTGGAAATGTTAAATATCGAATGCTGACGGAATAATGTAAAGGCTAAGTTATAAGTTATGTGACCTGAAGCTTTCGGGTTTGATCTATGGTGGGTTTGTAAATGCGCATTTCTAAGGAGTCCCGTAGTAAAACTAAACAGCTATCTGATGTTTCTCGGTTTTCAATGGTTGTCTAACATTAAGTCTGTGATCAATTTGATTTATAAAAACAGTTGTCTACAAATACGTGATAATATTAGCAACATAATGTTATTCAATTTGATAATGGTCAATATTTGCTTACTAAGGACATATCAAACGCCGCACATACCTCGTAATTGTACCTAGTAGTGTTATAATCATCGATATTTAACATGAAATTATTCGCGGAATTTGTTTAAAGGAATCGAGAATATTGATCTCGAAGTGGTTTTTTTTTTCAGACGAATGCTTATTGCCTAGAGCTACTGGCACCCAAACATCGAATATATTTTCTATTTAAATCTAAAATCAGTAAGATTTTCCGCATCAAACTTAAGTTTGGTTAAAATTATAGTACTGCGGTAAGGGACTTTATCCTGAAAAGTCGAATTACTTTAGAGAAAAACTATAATTTTGTTTGTTCGACTACATTTACAACCCGACCGTTGTTGATACCTTAACGTGGTGGTCAGGCTTGCCTATCGTAATGAAGCAACTGAGCTATACTGGCTGGAACAACCGTTCCTCAAGGTCCTACAGCTTTTCAGACTCATAAAAGAAACGAACTAAAAAGTCAGGTGTAAGTGAGACTATCTCGGAAAAAGACGACACTTTCATCTGCTCCCAATCCAGACGTTTAGAACGATGGGCGGAACACTTTAAGGAGTAGTTCAGCTGGCCTTCAGCTACTCTACAACTACCCACCATTCCCAGACAGTGTGAATGGAACATTGAAGTAGGTCCCCCAACTCTACCTGAAGTTCAAAAGGCTATAGTTAATCTGAAACGAGGAAGGGCAGCAGGTCCAGACGGATTGGTCCCAGAGGTCTTTAAGGATGGTGGTCTAGTCTTAGCGATTAGGTTGACCTCCTACGAGGAGGTCCACTTATTGACTTAGAATACGCAGATGACATAGTCCTGTTTGGTGAAGACGCTGATAAAATGCAGAGTTTTTTGGGAGCACTGAGCAACAATGCCAGAATGTTTGGAATGCGCTTCTATTCCTCTACATGAAAGTTGTTGCTTCAGGACTGGTCTGCGTCAACACCTGAACTAAGGATAGGGGGTGAAGTAGTCGAACGCGTTGACAACTTCACTTATCTTGGAAGTCTGATCAGCCCAAATGGGTTGGTGTCTGACGAAATCTCAGCACATATTCGAAAAGCTCGTTTGGCCTTTGCCAACTTACCTCACCTATGGCGAAGGCGAGATATCCGTCTATCAGTAAAGGGACGAGTATACTGCGCAGTAGTTCGTTCCGTTCTACTATACAGCTGCGAAACATGGCCTTTAAGAGTAGAAGATACTCGTAAGCCACAATTATTTGACCACAGATGTCTTAGAAATATTGCTGGTAAGTAATAGTGAGGTTAGAAGTAGGGTATTATGGAATGATGGTAAATCAGTTGATGAGGTTATGAACCTTCATCGACTGAGATGGTTGGGCCACGTGCTGCGTATGCCTGAACACCGATTACACGACGCGCAATGCTAACCGGTGTTAGGGATAATTGGAAGAAAGTTAGGGACGGCCAAACCAAAACGTGGCATCATTCCTTGAAGTCACTAACTTCTGGTTTGAGCCATGTTGGTAAATGCAGACTACCTGGTTGGGGTCCGCGTGACTATCGTAACCAATGGTTGGAGACTCTTGGTCACATGGCTCAGAATCGATCACAATGGCGTCGGTGTATACACTCTCTGTCTTCCTTTAAACTAAGAGATTAAAATCACTTCATATCTTTCTTTCTAGGAACTAATTCTATCTTCCTGTACTATCTCTTTATATGCAATCTTTCTTTTATATATTACTTCCACTGAATCAACTACTTTTTTGAATCCGGTGTTCATCTTGTTGTGCTAATGAGGTATGGCAACTTGGACCGATGCATATAAATGCCTGGTCCTACGTTGCAGCTGACTGACTGATATGGTTTACCCCTTCCTATTATTCATTGTTTATTAATCAAGGCCTTATGCTCCTAACCTTCA